CAAGGACTTTACTGAGTGATATTCTCCTGGTCCACTTCTTGACCTTTCCATCAGCATCCACTTTAGCAGGTGCTTCCTTTTGCAGTTTGTCTGGATTTTTCCCTGTGATGTTCTCAACCCTCCCACCTGGATAGTCACTGAAAGGGGTCAGCACCCACTGCAGGTTGAACCAGTGCCTCTCACAAACATCCTCATTCTGCTGAATTGTGTTAGCTGATGCTTGCTAAAAAAGGCTCACCAGTAGCCTAATGGTTTAAATTAGAAGATGGGAGGGAAGAACAGGTGTACTTGCTGTCTATCCTTTCTTTGGTGTCCGAAACTCTTCTTACCCTTTTGGTATGTTACCTGCTTTGCTTTTCATTTTGTGTCTTAGCTGCTTGGGATATATCCTGTGCTGGATACAGGGGTATTTGTTTGGAAAGACTTGAGTGCATTTAGAAGAGCGCAGCCAGGTTGCACTGTGGAAATATGGTTAAAGAGAAGCTTGAGTGCCTGTTGCTGGGAATGGATGATCTTGTAGTGAAAACTGTACAGCTGGGAACTGATGATTGCTCAAGCAGCGCTTGGAGTAGGCTTAAAGAGGTTCACCATCTGGTAAGTAGGTTACCATCTGAATGAGGCTAGCTAAAGTAGGAGACTTTTGGGGGGAAGTATATTCAGAGAGGAAAACAAACATGAGGATTTGAAAGAAGAGAGGAAACCTTTTTCTGGTTGGGTTTTTGGGGTTTTTTTTGGATCTTCAGTATTGTCTCTCTGGCTACAGAACTCAATGCACACAGTAGACCATGCGATGAAGCTAATTCTTGGTGGATTGTTTGTGTGAAACCTTTATAAAATGACGTTACCATTTGTGAGTGTGCTGGTTTTGGCTGGGATAGAGTTAATTTTCTTCATAGTAGTTAGTATGTGGCTATGTTTTCGTTTTGTGACCAAAACCAGTGTTGTTTATATAGAGGTGTTTTAGTTACTGCTGAGCAGTGCTTACACAGAGTCAAGGCCTTTTCTGCTTCTCCCAGCACCCCAGCAGCGAGCAGGCTGGGGGTGCACAAGAAGCTGGGAGGGGACAGAGCTGGGATAGCTGACCCCAACTGGCCAAAGGGATGTTCCATACCATATGACGTCATGCTCAGCATATAAAGCTGTGGGAAGAAGGAGGAAGGGCAGGATGTTCGGAGTGATGGCGTTCATCTTCCCAAGTAACCATTCTGCATGATGGAGTCCTGCTTTTCTGGCTGAACACCTGCCTGCTGGTGGGGAGTAGTGAGTGAATTCCTTGTTTTGCTTTGCTTGCATACGTGGCTTTTGCTTTACCTATTAAACTGTCTTTATTTCAACCCATGAGTTTTCTCACTTTTACCCTTCTGATTCTCTTCCCCCATCCCACTGCGGGGGAGTGAGCAAGCACGTGTGTGGTGCTTAGTTGCTGGCTGGGGTTAAACCACAACAGTGAGGCTTTAATATCCTTTATTTAGCAAAGTCTTTAGCATTCTGATCAAGGCATATTCTTGTTGACATCCATCTACACTGCTCTTATATTCCTTGATGTACTCAAAGTATCTGAGGTAAAGAAGCAGTTTTCTCAGTTAACAGCCTGTCTTTCATAAAGTGTTACATTTACGGGAAATTCCATTTAAGTGCACAGTTACACCTCAGATCAGATGTTTAGGCAACCTGTGTTGCACAAAATATTTTGTCTCTGACTTTAAGTTGATTCTGTTTGAAGGTTTGCCAAGTATGAATTTTCACAAGTTTGGGATAACAGGATTTAGACACTCTTATTTGTAATATTTAAAATGAAACACTTCCTTTAGCTTTCAGCTTTCTTAAAAGGATACGTCCAACATTTCCTTTTTGCCAGTACTGAATTGGACGATGTCTTCCCTTCACCGTGCTCCAAAAAGTATTTTTATATATGTTTTTAGAAGGAAATCCAGTTTCTTACTTGCAGCTGTTGGCATTTTAGAGACCTGGAGTGAACCAATAAAAACACATGTTCTTTTAAAGAACATCTATTTTTACTGGACCTTGCTAACAACCAATGACACAGAATTCAAAAAATGTTGGCTCAAATGAACAGAAGGGCTGCATTGTTTTAAATTCTATTTTTAAAACTTTTCTTTACAGCAAGATTACACAGAAATCTCATATGCTCTTGTGAAAAAAAGAGCTTGCTTTTAGAATGCTATTTTAACGTTTCAAAAGTAGTTCAGGTATCAAAGTGTTGTAGAGTATAAAATTTTAGTAACACATACACAATATTGCCATTTAAGATTATTATTATAATACTTTCACAAACAGGATAATTAAAGATTTTACTTCCTACACAGCTAGGAATAAATACATTTTGATTGATAGTTCAGAACATCTTCAATTAATACATTGTTTCCAACATAATAAGGCACTTATGTGCCAAGGTCAAATTAGATTACCATTTCTTTCAATTATACCCTCAAAATGGATTCAAACACTATGCTGATTGAATATGCCTAGTTTTCTTTCAGATATCAACATTCTTTGTGAAAATGAAATTAAAAAATGAAATTAAAATGAAATTAAAGATGAATTACAAAATGCTACCAAGATTGGTGTAAATGTAATCATGTCAAGACTGACTTGATAGGGTGGTTCCTCCATTTTATGTTACTTGTGTTGCATCTTTATTGTACGTGCTCTATATGCTGCATGATACTAGAGTCCCACTGCTGCTGTTTATTCTGCTGTCCTGTCTTCACAGGAGCGGAGAGCAGAATAAGATTGCAGCCATGCCCTTACTTGTGCAATCTGCCCTGTACATCAAGATCTTTTTCCGTATGGTCCTGTAGCTAGGTTTTGCTCTTAGCATATTTTCACTTCTCTTTTGGAATCAAGAAAATAGCATGAATATAAATTCATGTTTTAAAAGTAGATTGAGATTTTGGCCTTTTTAATAATATTTACTGTAAGAAACCTGTGCTGTTGTCAAATTGGGAATTCCAAAGCAGTGTTTTGAAGAGTGTTGGCAAAGCAGAAAAGTGAGAGGCCTGCTGATCTGACATGCTGTAATGTGTAAAATGTCATAATAATGCCTGAAGTGGTAGATTGATTTTATTTTTTTTAAACGGTGTTTAGATCACATATGCTAGAGAAAAAAACTGCATAATCTGTGTTTAGTTCTTCAGTAGTTTTATTAGCGCCTTCATGTCTGTAGACACATGATTTTCATGCTGAACATGGAAAAAGAATTACAGCTGTGATTCTGTGATTTGTGATTTTGTGTGTGTGTGAGAGATAAACGGACATTAAATGTCTCAAGTCTGTAAAAAATATTTGCAATCAAATGTATCTTAACATTTTTTCTGTATTTCCCTATTTTATGGGAAAGTGTCCTTTTCTCTTTTTCTTGCAATAAAAATGAAACTGTGCATTAAGGAACTTTACAACAGAGACTGAGAGAATGCACTAGGCCGGAGAGATTTGCTGCCTTTAAAGTAATTAATCCTATTAGAAATGAGTGCAGATTTCTAACAGAAGGAATGAAATACAACAGCAGATATATGAATTGAATTCTTTTAATAGTACTGTTGGACACCTACAATTATTTAAAACTTATTCAAATATAGGATTGAATTATTCTGTTTTATACACTATGCTGGATACCTGATGTGCAGTACACTGTTCAAGACTTATTTTGTGTTTAGGAAGTGTATGTATTGGTATGTCTTTAAAATTTCTGTCTTGACATCCTTTAGTACTCCTTATTTTACTTAGACCTCACTTATAATTTTTGCAGTCCTGCAGCTGTCTGTTTCACAGTTTTTTCTTTTTTTAGAGTTGACATGAGCCATGCTACATTGTCCCACATACTGAATTGCTCAGGAATAGGTTGTATACACTTGATGGGAAGCTCAGTTCTGCGTCTTCCACAGTCACTAAGATAGCACAAGAGACTGATGTTTCCAGGTCTTTCATTTGAGACAGCAATGTTTGCATGGGCATTATATCACGATTCTCATTCCTTTCTTACTAGTGTTTTCAGAAAGTATTTCTTAAAATCCTTTCTCTAAATTAATTGTCTTTTCTTCCAGCAGGGTCTATCAGCTTTGGGTTTTGGTGGTGATATCCAAACTACTTGCTTGTAATATACTGTTTTAAAATGTTCCTGCTAATATCCTGTTTTTCCCTAGTTCTAACAGTTGTTCCCCTACGTCTTCCTGGTACTTTGTCTGTTTTGTTTTGCTTTTTTTGTAAAACAGGTTTTTTTTCATAAGACAATAAACTGTCTGCTGACAACTAATTACTCTTTCAAACCAAGGTAACTGGGCGAGAGCTCTTATGGTTACCGTAAAAAACAGTGAAATATAAATTAGCTCATAATTTGCAGATCTTTAATCTTTAAGATAGATGTTCAGCTGACAGCAGTAAGTATATGTGTGTATGCACACAGTGGCAAATGTTAAATTTTTCATTCTTTGTCATTAAGTTAAATATTTAAACAAAACAATCTCAAAACTTCTTTTCTTTCAAGATCTGCTGTGTATTTGGGAATTAGACAAATCTCAGTGTGAAAAATACAAGTATAAAAATTACGTGTATATTTTCTAATAAAAGTCTGGGTCCTGGATTTGGGAGGAGGGTCCTTCATTTGCTTGCTTTTCTAAAAGCATGTATTGCTTCCTTTATATCCACTTACTTAATACATAAAAGCCAAAATCTAACCTTATATTGGCATAACTAGGAGCAGAAATTCAACCTGACATTTTTAAGACTTTTTAAAACATTCTGCAAAATGTCTTTATCTGATACTAAACTTAGCTTTTTTGGCATACAATTGGACCAGGAAGAAACTGAATAATGATGCACATTTAAAAAATGTAGTACTGGTCTGGGATTGTAACTTGCTTTTGTCTGATGCTTTCACTACTGCAGAAATGGTGATGGGGTTATTTACGTTAATTCGTTTGGCTTGTTGAAAAAAATATGCCCACACTCCTCTACTTAATGGGATTCTTTCCTCGTTGCAGTGCAAACGGCTGGAGCAGGAGCTTCATCATCTGAAAGAGCAGAACCAGACTTCAGCAAACAACATGAGACATCTGACTGCTGAAAACAATCAAGAACGTGCTCTGAAGGTAAATCTCCATTTCTTCTTGCAGGCAAATTAAGGTTGTAAGCCCCTGGTGCCAGCTTTCTGGGCTGCATATATCAGTTGTGTACATTTCGGCAGAAGTGAGCTATGGTGTTTGCCAACAACCCCTTCTTTAAACACAGATACAGCACCCTTCTGTTAGGTTTTATTTTATTTTGTGTATGAAAACACAAAGAACAAAATAACATATCCTCCAAATTATTGGGCTGGTAATTAACACTAAATTCTTGGGGTCTGTCCTAGCAATATTACATTTTATAACGTGAAGAAAACTGCAAGTATTTGCCTCATGGTACCTTTGCAAAACTAATATTTTAAAGCATGGCTGTTTGATCTGCTCCCAGCAGTGTGTGCTATATTAATAACATTGTTGACCTATACTACTAGTGACCATATAGTTGATACTACTATTTGCGAAAGGGTAGCTAGTTGGAATTGGGAGGAGGAATAATAAGTCTTGTCAATAAGAATAAAAATGAGCAGAGAGGCGGGAGAGGGTCAGAGAAAGGACAGTGTAAAGTGACAGGTTATTGCTGCTTTGAGAAAGGGAAATTGTAACGTCAGTGGAATTGATAGCTACATAACCAGCAGTCTCGCCGCTAGCCAGAATAAGAGACTATGCCAGGTAAGACGTGCAAGCATCGTGCGTGCCTATTCAACCACTATATTCTTAAAAATCTGTTTTATGGGTAGTGGAGACACAATATAAATAGAGAAGTTACTCTTTTGATACTATGTTGTCGTTTTAAAACCGTGTTTGATTCAGGCAGTAAGATCCAAACATATCTCATTTATAGGCAGATTTTCCTCTGCCTCCTTTTTCTTTCTTTTTTTTTTTTTTTTTTTTTATATTCGGGAAACATCATTATTCATGCAACAACTTGACCGATGCAAAGTATAGGAATTAAGGTAAATCCTTGTGTAGTTTGACATTTCTCAGTAAAAAAAAAAAAGTATAATGAATAAATGGAGAGAGGCTGTGTGCCACACAAATGCTGTGTGTTCCATGGGTTTATAATTGCCATCAGAATCTGTGGTGAATATTACAAAATCAGGTGTGCAGTACTGAAAGAAATCCATCCTCAGATGACTAGAAATAGAGATCATAAACATTCAGGGATGTTTCTGACCACAATAATAGTATTGTTTTGAATCTGATATCACTAAAAGTTAGTGCTTGCCGAGCATGATACTCATGGAACATAGTATTGTTTTCCATTAATTGCATGCCAATTTGGTTTTGCTGTGTCATTGAAAATGTTATGCACAGAGTCTTTCTGTTAGAAAACAGAAATGTTTCATGGAAACTACACTTCTTACATTTAATATTGCCTGACATAATGCTTACGGAGTAATTATATTTTCAGAGCAAGAAATTACTTAATAGTTCATAGTGTTACTAGGATTTCATTCTAAGCCCAATATTGCTCTCCCAGCACCTAATCTTTAAAGAATTTAATTTCTGGCTGTCACAGGCATTTTTTGATTTTTCGAAGTTAGAGGTTAATTGGTCGTAGTCTTTTAGAGATGAGAGTCTGGGGAGGAAAAAAGGAATGCTTTTCAATTTTTGGTAAAGTTGAACTTTTTAAAATATTGTACCTGTGCAGAGTTTGTCTCAGTTCATATTACTGTGGTCTACAGTGAGGACAGGTGTGTTGGAGTACTTTTTAAGAGACCAATGGGTCAAGTTGACCTTGAAAACTTTAAAATGCCCCTGTGAAACATTGGCAATAGTAGTTAGCGTTGATATACAGCATATGAACATTCATCCTGACCTAAGCATTCATGTAAATGAAAAGCTTATCACCCCTTTTTAGTGCAGCTACAGCCTAGAAAACGTGGACTGGCTGGTAGGGACGAGAGTCACGTCAGCGACTCCTTTAGAAATGGGTTTGAGCAGTGCTCTGCGGCTGGCCGGGGCACTCCTGCTGCCCTCGGTGGCAGAGCTCCCTGCTGGAGAACGATCTAGCCGGAACCCCTGACAGGTACCGCACTGTGGGGTCTTGGCACACACGTCCCCTGTGAAACCCTCTTGTTCTTAGCTGCCACCTCCTGCCTCTTGCATGCGCTCAGTAGCTATTGTGAGCGCTACACGCAGAGCGCGTGTACAGACCCAAGAATCCCCTCCTATCTCCTCTCTGCTGCAGATCACCCTCTGGTCATCTGGCTGTTTTCAGAGAAATAGGACAGACCAACCCTGTGGTGCAGGGTTAAATATCAGCCCAACTATTTTTATTTTCACCAAGATCCAGAGATCTACATTTCCTTTAACCACCTCCACGTGCAAACTGGGAACTGCGCTATGTACTAATACAGAAGTAAACGGCTGTCCTGCAGAAGGAGCCCAGGTATTTCTTCTGTCTCTATCCAGGACAGTTTCTGTTAAGAAAGCTTGAGTTGGTTTTTTTTTTTAAATCTTTAATTTTCCCTACTCTCTTAATTAATGTTGTCTGATTCAGTTTGGCAAAAGGTGTATTCTGGTGATAGGTGGCAGTTGAGGAATTTGATCTGCTTTAGATTTTCTTCAGGGAGTAACGGAAGTGTAACCGTCAGATGTGGTGCAAGGATACTTGCAATCTTAACTGGATAGAAATACAGCAATCAGGATCAGCTAGATTAAGGATGGCATAAAAGTTTGTGATAAAAGATGAGATCATTACCTCTGTGGCTTCCTAAAATACACTTAACAACAAAACTCAGCGGGTATTGTTTCTTTCTTACTTTTTAAAATCATTTCACAATAGCGAGTTGCTTAGAAGGAAAAAAGTGTAAGACCAATCCACAAGAAACCTATTTCATTCCACTGGTGGTATGGTCTCATAGGTAAGATAAGCTGCAAGCTTTCAGCTTCATTTTTAATTATATTAGCTCACAGGGCTACTGCCACCCTTCATTGAGGCAGTAGCAGCCCGTAGACTCCTGAGTGAGGCAAAGCAGCAGAGAGACAGATTCTAACTGTGGGAGAGGTGTGATGGCAGTAAATTGGCCAGATCCAGGATCTGGAAATCACAAAGGTGATGTAAGCACTCTTGCATACTTTTGTTTTTACACTTTTAGATCCCATGTCACACCTGAGGATCATGTGACAAATAAAACATATGACACATAAGGCATGCTGTATAGACCTATACTGTGCCAATTCATCTTACTGTGCAATAGAACATCTGCACGTGTTTGGCAAGATAGCTCTTCTTAACTAATTGCTGTCATACACATTAGTAGTACGTGATTTAAAATTACCGTATTTAATGTATTAATTGCATAGAACATTGCTTATAGTGATGTGGGCCATTCAGTCCCACAATGCCAAACTGGTACTCCTAATTTTTATAATATTCTTACTGGTCATAGGGGATTGTATTAATTGAATGAAAAGGCCAATTTCAAATCTTCCCTCCAGGCAATGCCCACAACTGCACAGAGGTCATTCAGAGAAGCATGTGGGCCCCTATTTCCATAGTTAAAGTAAAATAATCCTCTTCTTTGTGAAACCATTTTTAAAAAATCTCTTATAATATTTCAGATTGAATTATAGCTAAATCTTTTAGGGATAATTGCTTCCTAAGGGCCTATACATTTGCGCTCTTAGTACATTTTCATAAAATAAGATCTGCAGAGTGCTTTGCAGTTCTAATGTGTCAGGGTCTATACGTAAGATTATTCATTTGTGCTTGGCCTTCATAATTAACATTTGGTCTCTACTGATTCTGATAAATGTATTCCCACAATACACTGAAATAGCTGATTCAATTAAACATAGAGAAGTTGAAGAATTGCTATTTTTTCATTAGTATTCAAATATTGTTGTGGATCATTTTATTGTTGTTAGCTTTGTAGTGTGTAGTTTTGAAATGCAGTTTTAAGTAATACATCTTCCTAAAGGAAAACAAAGATTTTGCCAGTGTGAATGTCCTCTTTACTCAGTTGAAGAAGAATAGGAAATAAGTCTTGTGAAACAAATAATGTGAAAATTCATGGAAATGAAACTAGATTTGAATGAAACATAGGGAGAGGTGACTTTTTTTTTCCACAGGCCTGATTTATACAAAATAAATTTTTAATTAGGTGGTATGTTCTTAAAGCAGCTATTAATCTGCTTTAAAGACCAGAGAAACATACTAATTTTACTTCCAAGCCAAACTGTCAAAATGGAGAGGTGGGCTGTTTCATGATGATACACAAATCAGGTGCCCTTTAGTGACTAAACGAGTTTACTCCATCCAAGTATGATGTCATTAGAACTTGTAAAGGTTATTAATCTCCTTCAGAGCTGTTAAGATGTTAATCTTTGGTTACAATCAGCTTCTTTTGTTATGTTTTTCTGACTAATCAATCTTCTTAGTTGTGATTTTCTGTAGAATTCATCCTACATGCTTCCATGGTTTTATTAAGAATGTCATAAATTTAGAGTCAGAGGCAAGGAAGTGACCTGAAGGAGCTGTCAGAAATTTGTCTACAGTAGTGTCATAAAGCAATTGTAGCCAAATAAAGCCTACCAGCCTGGATGGTACAAAAAACAATTAACAAAACTGGCTACTGAAGGTGATACTGGTAGATCAAATTTCTGAACTTAGGTTTTTGACTCATGGTCAAATACATGTGCTAAATTAGTCACTTCCTGCCCATAGGGGATACAGGTAAGCAAACTGTTACGCTCCTAAATATATAACAGCACATGAAGGAGAAACCCCTGGCTGAGGATCTCCAGACCTGAACTGACCAGAGGACCAGGTTATGACATCTGGCTCAAAGGAACAGTTGGGTCCAACAAACTTCAAATAACTGCTTCCACTGGGATTGAGGAGGAACGTTGGTCACTGTAGGATTATGTGAATTATTTTCTCCCTCTCCATACATGCAGATAACTGGGCGGGTTCTCAGAAGTCTGTAGCAATAGTTTTTGGAGACACTGCAACTTAAGCATAAAGGAATGCAGAAAATTAATATTGGAGTGGAACATGGACAGAATTGTTTCTGCAGGAG